AGTTCTGCATTATTTGATACACTGAAATCAATTCCCTTCAATTCGGTGATACTGTGTGGCGTCCAGCCTCAATGATTCCACTCTTTCCACATAAGTCTTCGAATGCAGTTTCTTAACCAGTTGTGGAGGTTCCAAAATCTTATGGTCGCGTTGCAGCCATGAATTCCACGCTTGAATTGCATACTCTATGTGGGGTCGAGCGTAGGCTGAGAACAAACGTGGAAACAGTGCAGGTTCAAATCTGAGTAACTGCTTTTCATACACACTAGGTCTTGCGTTCAGACGAATTGGTGATCTTTTCGGTCACTGTGAACGGCTCGAGTAAAACAGCTGTGCACCTCCCATCATTCGTAATTGATCCTTGAAACACCTGAGCTGCTGCACACACACACATTCAGTTCCGTACAGACATTTTTCCAAATCACTTATATTGTGCTATGTTGATTGGAATACTCTCTTGTGGAGTGTAAAATGAATGAATACCACCCCACGGAAATAAGCGCATACACACGTGCACACAAATGTTGAGGTGTTCCTTTCGGAATATGTTCCCATTATGCTTACTTGAAACTTTTGAGAAGGGGAAAGCAGTGAATCATAGGGTTGCCATATAACATTACCAATTGATCACACCGTCTCTGCGATATGTGGTGACGCTGTAAATCGCTCCCATTTTTCAGTTGTCCGTGACGCTTCGCCGCCTGTAGTGCCAATTTATCACCGGTTCCATGGTATCCCACAGCATCCGGTTTCGCACGCACATGCAAACCGAGAAATAAACGAACCCGGTTTTGAGATCGTTTAGTTGGTTGATTCGGTGGCATTTTTGGATTGAGACATTTTTTGCCTAATCAATCTTGCCTGTGCATCGTTGTTATCACTTATCCAATTTAAATCCACATTGTTACCAGTTTCGGACATTGACACGATTTGTGTGACACGGACGCCCAAACACAAACGTCATTCGTGACTAATGGTCAACTGAATGCGTTGTGCACGATTTTCGGGTTTGTTTTCATGGTAATTCAGTGTACAATATACGATGCACTCGATATCTATGGCATGAACAAGTTAGCACAGTGTGCTAGGGTCGTTTCGCAGACCGCAGGTTCGATCAGTATGACCTGCTTTTTATTTCACATATGTGTCGTTCATGCACTGTTCGAGGTTTTTTTCGGGAAACTATTATTACGCTCTCCTCTTCCTCGCCGCTCTCATTCTGTATACTCAACGCGATCAGCTACTGGCCACTTGTGAGAACCCATCCGCGGACATGTTCGGTTTACTGGGTCGAATTCACAAAGAACGATTTGTGGAATCGAAATTTACCGATCAGGAGGCGTTGACCGCCGCGATCGAGAGCTATCGGAACGGATTCCAAGCCGACCCGAACGAATACATGGGTGTGAATTTGGCCAATTTACTCGTTTGTACAGGACAAGAGTTAAGCTCCAGTCAGGAATTGAACCGAATCTGTAAGTTGCACACACGCACGCGAATGTGCACACCTGCACACTGATTACAACCATGCAATACAGAATTTAAAAAAGTCGCTTCCGACTTCGTTGGATAGTTTTACCTGGAACTATCTATCTGTTGTTATTAACCTATTATTTATTAACCTCCCCCTTTTTCATTACACACAGAAGAGAGAAACCTCATGATTGCTGGCCTTGTTCATTCATGATAATTGACACTAATCCGGGTCTCGGTGTAGCGAATCATGTGACCTCTCCCCTTCCCACTAAGACAGATGTGTGATTCGGCCGGACAGCAAAGCTGCTTACCACTCACGTTCGTTGGGGCAGTGGTGCCCGGGTTCAAGTCTCAGCTTAGCGCTCAATGCACAGTAGTGGCAGCATTGATTTCGGTGGTTTAATCATCACCGCTTAGTTCCGAGTGTAGTGTTTTGTTAGCTTTGCCGAATAACGAATCGGATTGAATGGGTAGAAGCAGAACACTGCTGTCCTTCAGATGTCACCCCGGCCTGCGCTGCTCCTTCCTACTCTCAAGCATGTCAATCGCATTATTTAGACTAGCACAGTTTCTGGCATCAGTTGTTTTGCAGCAATCCATTCTCAAACTGTTTACACACATCACTGGAAGCACCATGGGAAATTGATCACATAATTCGTTTAGGAGTTTGTCACAGTCATTTAGTTTTCCATGTGCTTTGTGTAAAGAAACTAGCCTACGGGATCGGGGTGTGACTGGACAGCTAATTTGTTCGGTTTCAGTTAATCAAACACAGATCGTGGCATTTGGTGCTTGTGGACCCAAATACGTTAGGGCGTATTTCCGGGTCACCTTCAGTTCAACCGACTCAACTATTGCTGCAGTATCCATCGGGTAACATTAAGGAATGCTAAATTGCCCTTCAAGTGATTCCTTCATTTACATGATCCCCGATGAACGAAATTTTCACAGTTTATTGATCCGCTCCCGCTAAGATGTAACTAGCGCGGGCGATGGTACTCCATTGGGCTAATTAGTGGAGGTGACGTTCGGCCTAGATTGGATACATCACAAACACCATTAACCTGCACCCCACTAGTGACTATTGATCGCGCTCGCTCGCTCTCTCCGATACGATTTGATGATGGAAACCGGCAATGCAAGCATCCACACTCATTATCCAGGCTGAAAATCGTCAAACCTGGTATCGCTTGATTATCAGTTTTGAACTTGGACCATAGCAGGACATTGCTCAATTTCGTTGTATTTTTTTATGTTGAAGCACTTTTTCTCTGTTACTGTTTAACACTGCACTGATTAGTTATTATTCATCGATCTATCTTTAAATTGTGCACATCTGTTGTTCAGCACTCTTTCGTTCAGATATGCATAGGTGTGAAAAATGCAACCACTGGATGACTTAGATGTAGCATCATACAAACACACGCGATGTAGAGAAGGTCATATTTGCGGCAAAACAATGTCGGAGTACTGCACCCGCAACAACAATCAACACATTGCTTGCAAAATCGCAATGGACTCGCAATTCTCCGCCCGGTTCACGCTTTATTGATTCCTTGTTGGAATTAGAATCAGTTACCTCCTCCCAGCATCCTATTTTGACGACTGAATGTGATCTCTCATCCCTGGGTGGAAAAAAAATTCATACGGCACTTCAAACCGGTTCAATTTGGATCCAGGGTTGCACATTACGCATTGATGCATATCCAGACTTTGGTCACGTGTTTCAGAATTGAACTTTAGGACTGTTTGGGTGTGTGCATTCTGATTTCGGAATCGCGTGCAAATGACTCGCTCGCTTTGGAACACACAGACACGTGCGCAGGCACTGCCATTTAGGCAATTCGCTCGTTCATACTCTAATGATTTTGCTGCACTCCCAATTCACCTATGACCCATGATGTCTTGTTCTCTCACACTGTTTCCAACTCGGTTGCGCGCGCACACACACACGCACGAAACAGCCAAATTCTTATCACATTTCAGCATTCTCCAAACTCGTGGTAATTGGTTAGAGCTCACCTCAACTGTTCATGCCAATGGCTTAGCGGGTTTTTGACTGCCGAATCCAATCGAATTGGATAAAAGTACATATAGGGGAACCGAACTGTTTTGTCTATTTCGTGTGCGATCGTATTCCTCAGTCGTCTTTGTCCGTTGTCGTTTATGCACCCAAGCGTGTCGGTTGACGCCCGGGCTTATCTCGGTTCTTTCTTTTTCAACTTAACTTTCTTCTATTGAGTAAACAAATACAATCTTCAGGAAGTAAGAAGTAGCCAATCACAGTGTTGCCATAAAACACGCAGTGGTTAAAGTCAGATGGTGGTACTGCGATTTGAACACACACGCACACTGTGGTGATCATTTGGTGACGTTACCACCGGGCCACCACCGTCGAGCCATCAACGTCTACGTTAACATCGGTCATTCAATTTTCCTGGCAGATTTAAACCGATCAACACGCTTTTTCTATTTCGGGTACTCCCTATTTCCTTTAAACGTATTGGAAGGCATTTGTTATCAAGGTTGAACAAAAACAAAGCTTTGGATATCATAAGAGTGAACAGCTTGTCTAGATCAACTATAATACGGGGTAAGACAGTGGGAGGTCACATGAAATCACAATTAATCACTAGGCATTTGGGAGAGAGAGAGTTCACACGTATTATACATCAGGACACAACTGAACTGAAGCTGCCAATTCGCTGCAGTTTCGGCTGACCGAAATAAACGATGACTGTATTGTCTCTTTATCAAATTTGAGCACCTTATCAGTTGCATTTGTAAGATCAAGCACCTGATCCGCGATGCTTTCGCTCATGGTTTTCCAGCTTGGTCGTGGGCGCTTCAAATAAAGATGCACTCGTTGTTCAATGTTTCTCCTGTCCCTGGCATACGCTCACGCGCGAGCATTCACCTTGTCTCAGGTCTCGATCGAAGCCCGATGGATGACATCCATTCGCAAACGTACCTTGTTCGGGTTGGTTCCCAAGGCCGGTCGTTCGGTTACAAAAAGTGATCCTTCGACCGAATGAAAGTGCTCTCTGACTATTGAGGATTCCTTTTGTGCTAGTCTTGACACTAAGATTACAAACCATAAACGAAAGCTAAAAAATGGTGAGCAAAGGCTCAGTAACAACCACCCGTTGAGCACCGTATCCTTGCACGGGCTTATGTGTGTAAAAAGAACCTTACAAGCTGAAAATTGTTGTGTCCCGATTAAAGAACACGGTCAACACCTGGTAGCCGACTCGCTTTAATTGACACGGTGAGCTGGTGTGCTCATCTTCTGACCCGTACAGACATGCGTACCCCAAATGTGGAGCACAGTCCGTTACTCTGTTTTCACGCCATACCATAAGCATTCTCTATCCTGTACCATATATCGCAGTTGTTGTCCTGCTCGCACACACGTCGTGTGCACGGGTGGTGGTCACACAGACACACTTGCTTACTCGGTGACAGTGGAGACCTGTATGCTTCCAATCCCATTCTGGTCAACNTCGTTTTTACACTTCACTGTACCTGTATCCAGCTCCAGTGATCGCATTTTTCAGTCTGGGAGCTACGAGGTCGAAGTTCACACTTCCTATTTAGAATCCAGCAAATTCGAACTGTACAAAATATTTCGTGGATTTATTTTTTTATCGCCAATTTGGAACCATTGATCATGAAAGTGGACACAGTTGCTCAATCTAAATGACCGGTTCAATGGACCGGGCACCAATTTTTTTGTAAATATACACACCTAACTGTTTTCTCTCTCGTTTGATACCTTTATGCGACCAGATGGATCGAAGCACCTGTTTCCATATGCGGTGGACATAATACATAACTTCTGTTATCGTCTTCCCATTTTCTAATAGGCAACGTGCTGAATTTACGGATCGGTCGGAAGGGGGATATCTCCAAATTGACAGACTACTGGGATGTGGCTACGTTTTTCGAGGTTCGAGTGCTTTTGGAAGAGTACACAAGTGCGGTTCGCGCGGTCGAACGGATCTACGCGATGGATCCGCCTATATGGTACGATTCAGAAAGTACTGTATTTCATATCTTTTCACATCCACTTGATCATGATCATTGCCCACTTGGAGTCCGTAATTCATGTTGCTCTAATTTGTTTCCCCCTATTTCCCGTCCTGCGTGCCATGCAACACCTGAAACTTAATGCCTTGATCAACAACGGTGATTTATTAGTTCTTTTTCAAACTCCGTCAATCGAATAGCGATGGAAAGTGCAATATTAGCACCATGTTTTCAGTTTTTTTTGGCTCAATCGAGGTTTACGGGTATTTTACTGGAGTATGATCATCGAGCGTACACACCATCTTATCGCACGCGCACATCAGATTTGCCCTCCGTTGATCGCACACATGCGTTTCTTCATACAAGGGTATCTGTTGCTTCCAATCACAGCTGCTAGGGAATATTTAATTCCTTCATTCGCTGCTCACTGAACGATTCGACTAAGCAAATTTCGTGTCATTTATCACCTTTTCAATTCGTCATTTATGTGTACATATTATTGCCGTTTGATAGATTTGAGTTGAATTGAATTTGTGTCGGCTTATTCTTGAGAATGTGCAGTTCTGAGGAGTTGACCCATATTGGGTGTTGGATTGTAGAATATGTTCGGCCAATAGGAGAATGAAAGGCTTTAACGCGTCACTTGACTTCGAACCAGCAGGCTGATTTTTGACGATTTCGATCCCTGTTGCATTGTTTGGCGTCACATATTTTTGACGAAATCCTTTGTTATTTTAGAATTTTACAGGTTTTGATCAAACTCGTGCAACATCACTTTCATTTTGGAAATACATTTCAGTCTCCAATATCATACTTGTATATTGATGGCTATGTTCTTAGTTCTCTTCTATCACCGTTTGCGTCTGTTGTGGGGCAATATCATATTCAACCTCATGAATGAGGCTGGAAAACGAAACACAGAGAGGAACAAATGTGATGAAAATCAGGATGTTGCACGAGTTCGGTCAATACGTGTATTGTTTTCCCCTTCACGGTTTCTGGAGGCTCATGCTCCTGCTTTATGATTTTTCTTTTCTCGAGCTTCCTATCGGTTCCATAGTTGTGATCTCGGTCAGATTTGTTCCCCCTCCCCGGCCCTTCTACTGTGCCTGAACCTTTCTTACTAGTGAAGTCTGATACACTTCTCGGAATGTTTTGTCTGTCCCCGAGCGTGTCTTTGTAGTTCACTGGAAAAGGAGTTTTACAAGTAAAGGTAGCTCCAAGGTGCGGTCAAGCAGAAAACAGACACAAGGATTTGAGAACCTCGATCAAGGACTCGGTGATGTAGGTCGCTTTAGGCTTCTTGTTCCGCATCTTTGAGGTTAGTGTTATTGTTATCTTTATTATTGTTTTGGCGTTGGCACCATGCTTGTCCACAAGCCGGTGTGATATATACAAACATTTAACTCCTAGCTACTATATCGGTGTAATCTTTGGATGGAGGCACTGCATAATACGGCTGAGAGTTGTGTATCCGCTTAATTTCATTGTGATCTTCAGTCCTCATTTTTACATTGACACTGCGTTTTCATTTTTCCTCTACTCTCACATCCGAATCGGTAATCTGGAGACAACAACCAAAACCACCGCATGAAAGCGCATAGAGTAATGATTGCATAAACCAAACCTGATTGTTCATATCGATGACGGGCTATATTTGGCCAGTAATGCCGTCGATTCACTGCTACAATTAATGCTCAACAATTTCGTGGCATTAAAATGGAAAATGTACCGTACCGCAAGGTTCCGCACGAACGATCAAACTTGAGCAGTTTCTCCTCTATATGATTTCGATGGATTGGGAAAGTTTCATGTGTGCAAGTTTCACGTTCCCTTCCTCTCGTTGAGTATCCACTCCCATTTCCGTTACCGGCTTACAGAAGTATCGCGATTTCCGGCTCCCTCATATAGTCATATTTACAATGGAGACTTACTGCTTGAGATATTTTTAGCTTTTATAAATTTCAATAATCCACCACAGATTGTAGAGTGGTTTGAAGCCAGCTCTGCTGCAGAAACCAAATGCGCCCAGTATTCCTTGATTACATACACGCACCTGATTGTAGTGCTCGTTTGCCTCTGATAATGGGCGATCGAACCTCTCCCACTGTCTTTGCTTATATCCCACCCATCCGCTGTGCATGTATCTGTTATTTGCAATCAAATTTTCATTTGCCCGAACGATATCAGTTATTATTTTTCCTTCGAGAAAATGTGTCGTTATTCTACAAGCACCCACATACACTTTTCTTTCGTTGCTCGCATTTTTTGGCATTGGTTCAATGTTTTCACAATTTGTACAACTGAATCCCTCTTTTGTTTATCCTATTGATTCAGGCAATTGGCATCGACATTGCGGAACATTCGCTTGATCAATCAGTTCCGGAAACCGGCGCATGACAAAGTCAAATTAACCCCTGCACGTCGGGTGAGTTTGTTTCTCTGTCGGTTAAACACCGGAATATTTCCTATCTTTCTGCTTCCCTTCTTCCCTACCTGCCTATTCAACTGGGTCATTGCGTTGTGGAAATCGACTACCCACTGAGGCCCAACCAGTCGTCTCTTCATCTATCCATTTTCTTCGTATTGTTGTCCTGGTAACAGAATCTGCCACTCCTGTTCCAGGTATGCAGAGTTTCGTCCAGTCGGTTAGTATACCCAGATCGTTACTGTGTTCGTTCATTTCCGTTAACCATGAATGGTTCACAGCTTAGCAACCGTTTCTCCTAACCATCATGCACAACCTGTAGTGTATCCAATCTGAATTTGCTCTCTGTTACCCTTTCTCTGTGGTCGGTTTTTTCTTCACTTCAGTTTCCTTCCCCCTTCAATCGCTTCTTCCGCGTGTACTTTTTAATGTATGGACTTATTGTCTTTTGGGGTGTTCATTTACCACAAGTAGACACTCAGCGGGTAGCAATGACCGATTTTTAAGGCATTTCAAGCAATTTTGGAATTTGCTCGATTTTTGTGCTTTATTGATTATTATTTGGTGGTTCCCTTTTTCTTTTTTGACAGTCATAAATACATTTATTTTTAATCCATGTAGCTGAAAATTACCAGCGGATTGATTGGTCGATTTTACGGGACATCTGACATTGGATCTGTCGACGCACCCCCCATCAGACAGATCAGTGTCTATAGTGTCCGGATCGAGTGCTATCCTTCTAGAATGGCAAATGAACGAAGCTCGAACCATAACTGATAAGAATAAGCGCACTGTCTAGTCTGCAAACCGATTATCATTTTTGATGCCACATACATTCTGTTGTTTAAGTCATCGTGACTCAACGGTAAACAGGTTGATCAACTCTACCAATTAGCCTACCCAAAGTTTCAGGCTGCGAAACGCTTCTTTAAAAAAAACTACTGTGAATTCGGTCATGATTGACTGTCAACGAGTGTCTCCTCCTTTCTACTGCATTTGTGGCGCTCACATAGACCTGTGCTACCAGGAGCAGCAACGGCTTAAACTAGTAAAAGAAAAACTACCATGATCCACTTGTGGGCGTAATATTGCCGAATTGATCGGGCCAAGACAGCCGGAGCCTTCGGCTAACCAAAGCTCAACCTGCCAGTCAACGGGGTAGTCTGTGAAAACAGCGATCCGTCGGGGACCGTTGTCCAGTCCCTATGGACGACGAGGTCAAACGTCCAAGGTGCCCAATACACCTTAATACTCAATCGAACCGGTGTAAACTACAACGGCCAGGAAGATGTGTGTATGGTTCGTACGCCTCTTCTTGGTTCGTTTGGAGTCAGGGTTTTTGACCAACTCCCCTAGGTCAATTGGCAATAGTTCACCAACCCGGTTATGGCCTCAGCCATGTGAAGTGTCACACTTGTAAGTAACCTTCGCTGGTCCTTACATACCCAAAGTATTGCTCGCAAGTTGAAAAGGCTCTCTTTTCAGATCAGAAGACTGCGCCAATTCCGTTCTGACTCGTCGTTGATAAACACTTTCGTTCAACAATGTGTTCTCCCTATACCCCTTTATTGCTCTCCTGTAATTTTCCCTGGTTTGTTGAAGGCTGATTTCAAGTTGCTGAGGCGTGGCCTCTCAATGATCAGCGGTGTCTCCCAAGTTCCATTATCTGTTCTGATTGGCAATATGTGTAATGCCCATATTGATGCATGCCTATCCGATTGCACCCATCCTCTACACACTGACTTGTGTGCATGCAAATCCCACCCTTGCAGCCGTTCCAAGTACAAACTTATCCCGTCTCGCATATCCGCATACAGAAACTCTTTGGTACCCTATCTTGCTCGAATACTGACCGACAAGGAAAGTGTTCGCTCTGAGTTTTCTAATGCATTTGGTAATTAACTCATACCTTTGTACGTTTTCACATCCCACTTTTCCTCCTATTTTCACCAGAATTGTAACGGTGGTCTATTTTTTGGCTGAAAGCTTGTATATATAACTCGCTAAAGCTTGAATATAATACAATACAATATCGGCTTTTCATCCTCTCACTTTGGTGGTAAAATACCTCCGCCACTAGAAAGCAGTGAGTTGGGCTTCCTCAGCAGGTGTTTGAGAAGCTTGGCTGCATAGAACCTTTTCCTAAGGTGTAAGGGAATGGTGACCAGTCCCAACCGGACACACTCATTCCGACCATACACTGAGGCTTTCAGTGACTGGTAGCGCCAAAACAGTGAAATTCACTTTCAGGTTCCACTTGGGGGCGATGAATCTTTGATTGTGTACAATGTGCTCACAAATGCGGCTCCATTGTCTCTCGGACCTTTTTGTACTCATACGTTTTCCTTTCTAATGAATTCTTATGGTACAAAATTGTCGTCTCGAACTCGGTGCATCTTTCCTTCCTCGAAACCATGCTATTCATGTCGGATCTGTTTCGGTGGATATCTGCTGACCGCTACTGAATACAGCGATTCCCCTTGTCCACAATTTTCTCCCCTTCAGTAGCTCTGTTTTCTTGTTTCTTATCTTGTTGTTTCTTGTCCACTAGGCATTTATCAATTTTCCTGACATGGTTTTATTTTGCCTCCCCCTCCGATTTAGTTGTTCGATTTCTGGATGGAATTCCTTTCGGACGTAGTCACTGAATCCGGACAGTCATTACAGAATTCAACCAACGGAATTATTTCGTCCGCTGAACTGACGGGCAATGGAAGTGAGTGCAGCCGGTGAAGATTCGTGTTTTGGTGTTTGACCTCCTGAACATAGCCTTATGTGCCCTTTGTCTAGTTTCGGAGAAACGGCATACCAGTTGCTGTTCGGTTCCAGGATAAATGGGCTCGATACCGTTCCCCCCCCC